CACAGACAACCTCTCGTCAATATGCGTTTTTCGCATTGCATTGCTGCAAAAAACGCATAATAACTGGTTAAGTAGTAGGTTAAGATATTGGTGAGGCTAAGACAGGTTGTGATAAGTTGGTTTAAATTAGCAGAAATTAATTGAACGATAAAAGAATATTGCAAAAAAAAAACAATTACAGATCCGGAATCCGGAGCCAGTATCAGCTGATCTTGATCGCATCCAGTCACAAATACTGGATAATCAAGCTCTGATGGAGCAGCTTCGACATAAGGAAGGAGTTCTAAAGGCTGTGAAAGAGAATGCACGGGAAATTCTTGCGCATGCGAAGCCAAATGATGCTGCAGCTGCAGGTAAATATTGAAATTTGGAGCTCGCATTCAGCCTTGGCGCCTTTTTTTTCTTTTGAAAGTATAATTGCGGATTTTTGCAGAAATTAGCATCAAAATAAAGGAGCTCGATGAGCTGTGGCTGGAGCTGATGGATGGAATCACAAAGAGAGGCATTGTTTTGGAAGATACGCTGGTAAAAGCAAGGCGATTTTGGTTTGAGTTGCAGTCTTGTCAGAAAGCTATTGAAGAATTACGGATGCGTATCGAAGGAATACAGGCTGCGTTTGGGGAACCAGTTGTTATCGAGCAGCAGCGCCATGCTCTTATGGTATTTTCAACTTTTCCAACTTCATTTTCTCTTTTTCCTTTAATTTTTATAAAAAAAAGTTGCTTTTATTTAGTCCCGGTGAAGATGCGACTGAAATGCATTGTAAATTTGATTAATCGCACTTCTGCAGGCAATTGAAGAGGAAATGCGCGATGCTAAACCGCAAATTATGGATAAATTGCGCAGTGCTGGTCGTGAGCTTTGTGATGTCGTTGCAGAAGATGAAAAAGCTCATGTGGAACAGCAAATTAATGCCGTTGAAGGTGGATGGGTTACCGTCACTAATATGTGCGCACGGAAGTAAGTTTGAAATCAAAATTTTCGGAATATTATAAAGCAAGTGGATCTTTTAAAAACTTTCTGTCATTTCGATAAATTTAAAAGAAAAAAATTAGAAAAAATCACTCAAGTCGGGGGCACGAATCCGTCACTAGGGCAACTTTTCCTATGCGGTTCATTCATTTGTTTTGATGGTAAGCCGACTGTGGCAACCAAGTTTACCTTGGAAATCTAACTGGCGAAAGAGCAATGGAGTACAGAAAGGAAGAAGACTATGAAAAAAGAATGTAAGAGTGAGATAGGACGTTTCGGTCCATTAAGTCATATACGTCTTAACACCGCGACAAAACCTCGCCAGTATGACTATCCAGTGCTTAATGGGAAAGGAAAGGAAAGCAGAAAGAAGAAAAGGAGAAACAGAAGGGGAAACGATATGATTGTGAGATTAGAAAGGGTGGGAATGGGGAGAAGAGGGAAGGGAAAATGGAAGAGGAAAAAAGATTTTAAAAAAGAGAAGATTTTTTATTTCTCAAAAAAGTTATTTTTTAAAGAAAAGAGTTTAAAAAAAGAGAGATTGAATAAGATTTAAAAAAAATCAATGGCAAACCTCGATCATGGAGATTTTATTGCTGGTGCGTACCAGAGGACAGAAACTGCCACTCTCTTGGCTACGGAAAATCGTTGGGAAAGCAAGTCATCGACAAACTTGCCCTACGAGCGAGTGTCGTTGAAATGCGTTAGTAATGGAGCTGCTTTCGAAACCCTCTTTCTGTTATTTAGAATGAGTGCAGAGGAGGTTTTGTTTTGATGCAGTGAACGATAACACAACAAAATTCAGGCGGGGAATCAAGGGAGAGATTTTTCACAGTATGGATGTTTCAGAAATTCGGATTTGATTGAAGCAATGGATAAGGCAATGGATTTTCATTCGCTTCTGGCCGAACTGCTTAATTGGATTGCAGAAGCCGAGGCTAAGGCATCAGAATTAAGTCCGGTTCCAGGCGCTTCTTCTACTGATATCAAAAATGAGGTGAGCTGCGTCTATATCCATTTTTGCAGGCATTGGTAGCAGGGATTGGTATTGTTTGTGATTTTCATATTCTTCATTTATTGCAGCTGACAGCACTGGCTGACTTACGTTCGTTGTTGGACGAGAAAGCACTGAAAAAGGAGCAGTTGAACCAACTATGTGCTGGCTTATGTGTTGGTACCACGGCACAGCAATCAGCTAGCATAAGGGCTCCAATCATTGATTTGAATATGCGTTGGAATCGAGTAAGCAGCTTGTCTTGGTCAAATTTTGCAAATTTCCTCAATTCTGATCCGGTTTAGATTCTGATTCAGCTTTCGATTGCTGTGAATACCAAATTCATTGACTAGATGGGTTTTTTCATAAAAAAACGTGAATTTTAAAAAAAAAAATTTATTTTTTATTAATTATATTTAAAAATTGAATATTTGAATTAAAATGTAAAAAAAATTGGGAGAAAATATTTGAAAAATCAATTAAAAACAAGAATGATTTCAGGGAAAAAACAAGAGGAGACGGGGTAATTAAAAACAAGAAAAAACAAGAATTCGGGAAAAAATTTAGAAAAATATTTGTATAAAGGACACCTCATGGGGTTGCCGTTGAGTTGGCAGTCTGTTCATGAGACGAATCGAATATAAAAATCGCTAGCAGACTGGGTGTCAGGCGAAGCAGTAGTAGTCCAAGCAACTGAAAAAACTTGCCACCTGCTTAACTAAAGAACCAGACAATGAACAGTAGATGAAATAAGTGACTGAATGAAAGCGTTTGAGGGCTGACAGGAGGTAAGGATTGCTTTTTATTGATGCATAAAGCACATTTTTAAGAGGTAACAATGCGAAATGTTTGCAGTTATACGCATTGCTAAGCGAACGTCAGCAGAAAATGGAGAAAGCCCTGCTGGAGATGGGTCAGTTTGCGCAAGCGTACGAGCAACTGATGCTTTGGATTGAAAAAACAGAACATATTTTGAGTGAAGTACGTTCATTATGCATTCTTCTTTGTTAAAAAACCGATCTGTGGGCTTTTTTGCCTCCACAAAGGAAAGTTCGTTGAGTCAGAATATTAGATAAATGTGTGTTTTTTTTAATGTTTCTTAAAATATTTCGATTCAGATTAATCCGCATCCAACAAATCTAAAAGAAGCCGAAGTGGAGGTCTGTAAACATCGTGTAATTCAAAACGATGTGCTTGCACATGAGGCCAGTGTGGACACCCTGAACAGTGCTGCAAAACGTATAATAGCTGCTGATCCAAATGCGGCAAATACAACGCAGCCGATGATTGACAATTTGAATTCTCATTGGCATATGCTGGTCGATAAGCTTGAAGATGTCTGGGAGCAGGTATAAAACACATTATCCCTCCTTTAAAAGCTAAATTAGTAAGCATCTGCTATAAATATTTAGAGCTTGGACAAACTGGTTTATAATATTTTGCATTTTAACGTTTTTATCAGGAAAGGCTTGTTGGCAGATGGCGTTGTTTTGTATGTTAGGCATCGAAAGTTCGACTCCCCCAGTTGGGCCAGACATTCCTTCTAAGTGCTCCAGGAATTTTAAAAAATACAAACAGTGAATATCTTTGGCTAGGGGACTGAAAGAGGACGGAGGCCGGAAGTCTTCTCTGTGTTCGTTGTTTATTCGTACTGTAGTATGGGGGGATAGGGGCTCTCTGAGTTTAATAATCATTTGGGCAGAATACTGAACTGGCCAGGGAGTCAAAATTGCCGTCAGCTCGCTGATATGCAACCTTCGGGAAGGGGAGCGGTCGATAGCTTTTGCCAGCTTCTAACATTTCCCACGCTTGGATTATTTTCGAATTCTGTGCCTTTCATTTTGAGTAAATTTGGAGAGAAGCTGAATTTTTTTTCTAAAAATGATAAAAATGATAGTGGCAATTGTGGGAGAGCATCAGTCTGATTTCAAATTGCTGAAGAAATTGCTTTTTTCAAAACTCCAAATACGTTAGTGATGTTTCAGTGATTGAATAATCTCCACAGACCTAAAAATTGTCATGCGAAATTGCAGCTGAATGGTGCTCGAAAAGCTGCGGAAAATCTTGGAAGCGAAATGGATAAGTGGTCAATGTGGTTGCAAGACAAAGATGCTGATTTGTCGCACGCTAAACCGACCGGTGGACTACCAGAAACTGCTCAAGCCCAGCTCGATGATTTCTTTGTTTTGAAGGTCATTTTTTTTCGAAAAATTCTATTTTTGTCTAATTCCGCTTTTTTTTCTTGTCTTTATCCTTCTTTTTGATATAGTACATAAACAGTTTGAAAATTTGCAGGCTGAAATCGAGCAAAATCGACCGGCGCTGGAAGCGCATTTGGAGGCAGCAGCGAAATATCTGTCAGATAGCGCGAGCAACAGTAATACATGGATTTCGCAACGCGGTGCTCAACTTAAGAAGAAGTGGATCCAGGTATTACATTTTTTTTAGTCTCACTCTAAAGGCATAGTTAAAGAACTTTTTACAGTAATTCGCTTGTCAAAATACAGTGACAAAAGTGAAGAAGAGTATGATTGAACAAGCGAGTTTTGACAAAAATTATAAGAAATTGATGGATCTTCGACTTTGATTCCAAGTGAAGACTGATGGTCTTCAACATTAATTCCAAAATTCATGACTAGTTTTTTTTCTGCGCAGCCTTGTTTTTAAACGTTAATTGATTAAAGATGCATAATGCTGTTAAAGAATTTAGGCGCACCACAGCCAAAACTGTTTTCGAAGAATGTAGGTGTACCACAGCCAAAAGTGTTTTCCTGTTACAGGTGCAAGAAAAGATCGGTGATCGAGAGCAGAAGCTAAGAATAGCACTGATCGAAGCGGAACAGCTTTATTCGGCAATGACTTCGATGAGTGAATGGTTGGACGCCGTCGAGGAACGTTTGGGACATGTGGGACATATCTCCAGAATTCCGGATACTCTTGAAAAACAAATGAATGAACATTCCAGTTT